CAGCCTGTAGTCCTATTAAGTGTTAGGAATGGGGAAAAAAAAGTTGTCTTGCACCTATTTGTGCTGCCAAATAATCTTTCATTCACTATAGCAATACTTTCCACTTCTTACAGTACTGCATTTTTTCTGTACTTGCTTATGGAACTCACCCACCTAAGATGTGCCCTAGGATCTTATCTTGCTCAGCCCTGAAACCAGTCTTTCATTTGTCTGAGAAAGATAATTGGGCTGTTTTCATGTTAAGGAGATGCTGTCCAGTTTGTAATTGCAGTGATTAGAGTCCATGTGTGGAATCAAACTCAGGGCACTCCCTGAGCTAAAATAAGTTTTATTGCCTTCCATTGCATTATGTTCTCACCATCTGCTGTTTCACCAGTCTCTGAATTTCAAGAGTTACAAGAGGATTCTTGAATATTCCTTCAGATTACTGTAAAATTATCGATAATCTAAATCTTGTAATCTCTTTTGTGTAAAGAGAAACAATATTGTTATCTCTTTTAAAAAAAAAAAAAAAAAAAAAAAAAAAAAAAGGGGGTAGGAGGTTCAAATGTGAAGGGATTTCCATCTCTCTTACACCTTTCTCTTTGATCTTCCAAGCTGCAATCAAAGTGTTCCTCACTAGCATTTCCCAAGATGCTCTGTCAATATGGAAGAAAAATAAATGCATTTCTGAGTAAAAATTCAGGGCATCTAGAACATACTTGGTGGAGTGTTTTAAAAACCACAGATTGTCTTTTGGCTTTTAGTTTGTATGGAGTAGAACATTGCGTGTATTTATTAATGTTTAGATTAAAAATGAAGGTATTTTTTTTTTCCTGTGTGTGAGCCAAATTGCAAAGACTCTTGTGCTGAATCTCCTCCCTGCTCTGCAAGAAAGAATGGTAGTGTGCAACAGGAAGGAAAGATCGCAACGTGCAAGGCATGAACTTAAAAACAGACTGATGGTCCTTTGGATAGGGTAAGTGCGACTGGAAATCAGTTCCACATCTCAGTTCTTGCAGACCAGGTCTCCTTGAAGAAATCCTTTTATACTGCTGACAGAACAGGCACACTTAGTTGGGATATCAGAGAATATCATCCTGGTGATCTGTGCCCGCTGAAGCTGCTGTTTATCCTACTTACTGTGCTGGGGACAGTGCAGCAACTCCTTGGCGCGATGTGGACTATGGAAAGGGCAGGCATGTTGACTGAGGTTTTTGCTTGGGTGTTCTGCCCTCCAGCAGCAGTAGAGGTGATGTTGGCTGCCCAAGAAAAGCATGCTGCCTGCCTGTGTTACAGTCCGGCATGCCAAATGCTTGCTCTTCCATGGAAGGGCTGCTCCTGGAGTCCTGGTGTCACCTCCAGCTGGTACCGTCTGTAATTGTATTCACATAAAGCACTTTGAAGGTGTCTTTCTCGTTTCCCAAGAGAGCTGTTTGGACCTGGGGAGGTGAGAGGACAGGGAAATAAAGGCCACTTTCCTTCACAGTAAATATTGCACAAAACATGTAAAAGCTACTTCAGTTTTTTTTTTCTCCCTGGAAATATTTGATTTCCCCCATCTTCATCGCAATATTAGTGTTATTAGTTGTAGGCATTGGTGTTAATGATGCTAGTAACCAATTATCTTGAAAACTTTTTGCAAGAAGACAGTTTATCATACTAGAAACTTAATAAAAGAATAACGTGATGGCCATTGTTTCAGAAATAATGGATTAATTCTGGTTTCTTCAGATCTGGCTCACATTTTGTGCCAGTGGCAAGGCTGTCGTGTAGCAGCTGGGCATATAAAGTGGTCTTAAATACAGCTCAGCACCTCTGAAATTGAGTGCCCATTGAATATGTACTGACTGGTTCATTACTGAACTGTGAACACAGGAGCCCTGCTCGGGTCACAGAATGCATTCAAGTGCATCTTAAAAACAGTGAAGTTTTAGAATGCTGGCAAAATATGCATTTTCCTAATCCGTGTCTGCCCTTATATGTTAAAAAAAAAAAAAAAAAAAAAATCCTTACATCAGAAAATGGCCGTTTTTCCCCCTTCAGTTCAGATCATATAGACATGAGGATTTTCAGCATCAAATGTGACTAACCTAAAATCAGTTCAGTTTTTCTGTGCAGTGTGGTGTTCATTTCATATGAAGAAGCCTTCTTTTACTATGTCTGTTAATGTGTTTGTACATTTCCTACGCTGGTGGTAAAGAAGAAAACATAGGTATGGAAATATGGAAGCAAAATACGAGAAGGAATGATTTTAATTATCTGGTGCCTTTTATCTCTGCTTTTTAATTGCTGGAATAGGGAAGGCTGAATGAGAGAGCATGGTGACCTACTTTAGTTGAAAAACAGATGAAGTGAAGCTACTCCTTCAGGCCTCACAGGAGTGAGCAATTCTTTTCAAATATGGTTTTAAAATCTTAATGCAAAAATGTTGCGTTAGGAAGAGGAGGAGAAAACTTTCCAGCCCATATCCAATGAGGCCTCTTTCTACATAAGCATGCAGGCAGTCTATCTGGGCCACGACTGCAGGCTACGAGGAAAGGTGATGCTGGTGCTACTGCAGCTGAAGGGAAAAGTCTTAATGAAAACCTTAAAACACCAGAAGTTGCTCTGATTGTTCTAGCCCTATGATAGCTTTGTTTGTGGGTTCATTTTAGTTCATGTTGCTGACGAAATCACCTAGTGCACTGGCCAGTAGTTTACTACAATGTGGCTGTCTCTAAATTAGTTAACTTACCTATGTATTTTAGGTATTTCTCTACCTTGAAGATAATAACTGCACCTTGGTACTGTTTGCTGCAAGCATGAAATGGTACTGTAATCACTGAACCTTGCTAGTTGAAAGCAGTGACTTTCTCACCCGAAACAGGTGAGGGTAATGATTTAGGTGAGAACTGCTGGCATTATCTGTGTTCTATGTAACAGAAATGTTGACTGTAAACCTTGTGTTGTGAAACGCATTGCTTACTGTGCATGTTAAGCATGCGTTCGAGTGCTCCTGAACATCAGTTTAAATTCTTGAAAAAACTAATGGTAACCTTGATATTGCCTGATTTTGTGAGAGAGATCAAGCTGACGTTGATAGGAAGGATACTACGTTAAGTATGCAGCATACAGAGTTTCCTGCATGTCACTGTTCTGTGTTCTGCAGATCCCTCTGGCAGAAGTGGCTTGCAAATGCTCCTGGAAAAGCAGAAGCAGCAGTCTCTGTGCTGAACGATGACCTTCCTCAGCAATGGGTTATTTATGGCTTACAGTATTGTACAAGATTTCCTCTCAGCTGAGAGGAAATGTAGACAAATAATAGAAAAAATTCATTATAACTCACGCATCTGCAGAACTACTTGAGATTCACAGCCTGCTCAGTGGCTTCTCAAGTTCTGTCGGCCCAGAGAAGTGCATGTTAGAGAGTTGCTCTTGATGTTCTGAGTAACTTGTGTTTGAATGCATGCGTTAGGCGTAGTTTTGCTGCCCAAGGGTGACACTATCCAAATGAGTTTGAAAACACCTTTCTAGGCATTTCAAGTCCATGGGAGCAAAACAACTGAAATAAAAGCAGCTGCAGTCCTGTTTATGGCATGAAAATATTTCTGCAAGTTTTATGGCACACTTGACCTTTAACAGTGATGACTGTGATATAATGTTTTACTGAGAGGCAGTTACTGAGGTGAATTGTGGCTTTTTGTTGTAGAGCAGTAGTGATACTTTGAGCTTAGAAAAAGCTTCCTTAGTAGTTTCTCTGCTGTTTTCTTTAGCAGATGCTTATATCCTGGAGAAAGAAAGAACTTAAGTTCACAGCTTTTAAGTATTTAAAAACATGAGGGCCTTACCCTTCTCCCTATGGAGGGGGCCAGGCAGAGATGAAAGAAAGCAAATAAATCAAGCATCTTTGCAGGGCTTATGGCTGCTCTACTCTGAATACGAAGTTAGCTTTCTGCACATTCAACTTTAGGAGCTAACACACGTGGCTCTCCAGCCCCTCATGCCTTCAACCTACTGCTGGATTGCAGAGGCAGGAGGTGGAGGCTGCTTAGCTCCTGGAGCAGGTGGAGAGTTCCATACTCCCCCCTCCTTGGGTGCTGGTGGCACATATGTTTCCTGCGGGTGTGAGGGAGTGGAACCCTCCTTTACTTCAGCTTGCTGGGTGTGGTATCCTGCTGCTTGCTTGCAGTTACTTTTGGGGACTAGGGGGAAGGGCTGGAGGCATGGTTGCACACGCACATATGCTGCATATTGATGTCATGCATGGGTGCACGCACGAATCACACAGCTGTGCACGTGCATGCATGGATGTACAAATGGGAGCACGCGCGCACGCACACGGGTGCACGCTCGGTCATTAGGGAACCTGCTGTGGCAGAGGGTTGGACTCGATGATCTCTGGAGGCCCCTTCCAACCCCTACAATTCTGCGGGTGCAGATGGGTGCAGGCACGTGCACACACGGATGCACGCATACGGGTGTACCCGGGTGCACGCATACACGCGCAGCCAGACCCGCGGCCGCAGGCACGGTCCCGCGCACCTGGCTGCGCTGCGCCGCACACAACCGCACACCCGTGCGCGCTCCCGGCTCACCCGCATCCCCCGCGCGGCTCCTCGCCGCCAGCCCTGCTCCGCCCCGGGAGCGTCCCGAGGGCGGAGACACTGCGTTGTCCCGGACCGCCCGCCGGGCCGAGAAGCGGAGCCCGCCCTTTGGGAGTGAGTGAGACGGCCGTGGCGCGGCGCGGCTGCAGAGCGGCTCCCCATGTGGGCTCGGGGATGGAGGCGTCCGAGCACTGCCGGCGGCGCCTTCCCGTTCTGCTTCTGTGGGGTAAGCGGGACGCCGGGCCGGAGAGAGGCGTGGCGGTGGGGGGCTGCTTGCCGTCCCGAGGCTTCCCACCCTCGCGGACGCAGGGCTGAGCTGCTGAGCTGCGGGTGCGGAGCGGCTTCTCCCCCCGAGCGGCACCTCGCAAGGAGAGCGGCCGGCTGCAGCGTGGTGCGCGCGTTCCCCCGAGCCGAGCGGCGCTGCTTGCCGCTGCGGCTGGGAGCCTCGGTCCGGTGCCGCTGAAGCAGTTCCGAGCGCGGGAGCGGGGAACGTTTTCAGTGGCAAAAGAAGGGCTGTTTCGCGTTAGAGAGGCTGGGTTGCACGCGGGCAGTGGTAGAGGTGCAGACACCCTTCAGACCTTCCCCTTAAGGTGAGATCAAGTCTATTGCCAGAAATACTCGTGTGGCTCATTTATTTATTTATTCATTATCAGGTAGGTTGTCGTAGGACTCGGGGAATGTAGTATGTTGTGGTCAGGTCAGAAGCCTGTGGCACATGTCAGCTCTCAACTTCACACCACAGTAACCCCCAAGATACAGCTGATGTGTCGTGGATAGGAGAAAAGAAAATTGGCCTTGTAGATTTACACTGAGTACTTCATAAACTTTGTTTGCTAACTTCTTACTCTTTTCAAAATACAAAGCTGGTAAACGCTGGAAATACCAATAACTATATTGGTAGTTACACTGACAGTGTTCAGTAACATTGTCTTGATCTGTCTGTCTCGAGAATGTAATGTCAAATAAATGCAGTTTGTGATTCTCCATGTTTTGAGTGCTGCTAAAGCCTCACCTTGATCACTCAGATTTTTTTTTTTTGTTTTCCAGCTGTAAAGGAATAATAATAATAAAAGGCTAACACTTGCCTCGGCACATGATAATTTGTGCAACCTTGAGCTTAGTGAACTAACCAGTAACTTTTCTGAGTGGGAAGACCTGATGTTACTGTGACTCTTGCAATGTGAAATTACTGAAGATTTTGGAGAATGTGTAATGAGGGCAATGTTGCTGTGGTTCTGAAAACTCGCAGTTGTTTTTCATCAGGAAGGAGCAGGTAAATCAATTGTGCCAGACAGTTTTTGACTGTGCTGGTTGCTTTCTTAATAACACTGCCTAAATGGTTTTAAGGATATCTGATAACGTGTTACTTTTGCTGTAAGTTAGAAAGGATAGATATAATCAAAAATTAAACTAAATCATGCAAATTTCTTGGTAGGAAAGCCATTTGGGAGCCCTGGAAATTTTATGACATGAAATTGAGATTTTTGATTTAAAAAAAAAAAAGTCTTAACAGGTAGAAAAAAAAAAAAAGGTTCTACAAGTATTGCAAACATGTTGTCAATTACTTCAGAGAAATTTTACTTCAGAGAAATGTGTGTGCATTTCCAATTGAAAGTTGGAATCGTTTTCCTTTGAACGTGGAGGCCCAGCAGTGTCTGTTGGCTGAAGACTTGTCCTGGGAGCAAAGGGTTCCAGCTCGGTACAGGAGACTGGGAGATGATACCCTTGTATCCTTTGAAGACGATACAAGCTGGCCTCTCCCTACTTCCTCTTATCTCCTGATTTAAATTTGTGAGGCACAGGATACAGGAGCAAAGGATTTCCTACAGAGATCCTGAAGCAGAAGCTGTCGCTCTCTCGAGCAGACTTGACCACTGGTGGACTATGAGAGTTTGTATGTCGTCCTACTTACCAGCTGAACACAACCTCCAACAAACCTCTGCTGAACCTGACACCAAGACATCGCTGGTTTGAAGGTGGTGAACCTCTTTGCTTTGCAGTTCGTACCTCTGTCTGTCTGCCTCTTTCCCTGTTTTCTATCTTTTCTCTTGACCTTCATTTATTCTTTTTGTAGTAGCTGTTGCCTAATGTTTTCTTATCTGTAATGCTCCTTAACTGTAATTGTAATTAGAGAATTAGCCTTTTTTTCTTTTTCTTTTCTTTTTGTTTTCTTCTTTTTTCCCCTCTGAGTATTAGTCCTTGTCAAGAAAGCTCTCAGTAAATCGGTGCGTACGATTCCTCTGAGTCTCGGGTGACTCCATCCCGGCAGCGACCCCTGCTGACAGGGGAGGCTCGATACGTGGAATGGATTTATCTCTCTAAACCGACAGCGTGGGACAGAAGTGCTCGGTGTCTGCGCTCACTGGATGCTGTAAGAAACTTGTCTTGGTAGGGACTGGGACCTCGCTTCTCCATACTCACACCACTGCTTTCTGCCTGTCTTTCTGTTTATGGCTTTTAAAATGCTATCGTTACGTACAACCACTGTTGTATTGTCCTTTGCAAAGATGGTAAAAAGGCAGCATTTGTTTCCTAGAAGCCCAGAAATTGCGGAAGTTGGATTTGCTGTGACGTATATTCATGTCTGCTGTGAGCTGAGGTAGCTGTCGCGTAGGCACGTACATGAAGTGTGGGTGCTTGGAAGTTATCTACTAGCTGTAGGGTAGGATCTAAGCAACTCAGAAGTAATGGTGCATTTACTGTAACATTCTACTGGGTTCTTTTGTTCCACTTCTGGTGTGGAAACTCATACAAGGGCTTGACCAAGATATTTTACAGACTAACCAGACTTTTTAAACAAGTACTTGTTGTCTAACTTTTGCTCCTTCATTGTTTGCAAGATGTCTGCGTTTCAGTGATATTACTTGTATATCAGTTGAGTGACTCTCAGTAAAGCTGGATTCTAGATGAGTCTTTGGCAATATATGTATGAATACCCATACTGAGAGGGATTACGTGATGTTATCTGGAATAGTTACTCTGAAGGCTTCAAGGGTTGGATATAGTTGTTCGTGTTTTGTAATTCCATTTCACAGAAGAATCTTCACTTTATGGCTGGAGGTGATAAGCCAGTCAGTTGGAAAACTAGGAACAAAGCCTGGCTCCAGGCTCCCATTCCTACAAAAAACCATGTCACATCAAGAAAAAATGCGTACTGAAATCTGAATTCTGTAAGGTCCTGAGTTCCCCTAGCATTGAATAAAGGGTCTGTATCTCCTTGGAAATTTGGACTCAACTGAGGGAGGAAAAAAAAACAGCAAATGAGAAACAAGATTGTTAACCAAATCAATATTTTGTGTGTGTTATGTCCCTGTATATCAATTAGGCTGTCCTGCAGCTTCAAGGGGTACAACGAAAAAAGAGAAAAAAGAAAGTGCTGAATTTAAGAAATCCAGGTGGGTCTGTGAATAAAACAAATGAACCTTTGCAAGTCAGAACACCTGATTTTGAAACAGAATGGAAAGCGATAGCAAAGATGCTTCTCTACCAGAATGAATGTTTCACATTCTAAGTGTATGATTTTCAACACCAAATGAATGGGAAAATAGCAGACCTCATAAACACAGATTTTGAAATCAAAGCATCGAGTGTAAATGCAACCTGTGTTCCAACTTGATGCAATATCCAAACGTGCTTCCCACTCTCCTTTGCCCTCTCTATATCTCCTGATTCCTTTTTTGGAGGAAGGTGTTTCTCTCTCACCGAGGTCTGCAGAGGCCATGGGAAACGAGCTCATGCTATGTGCAGAGGGCAAGGTGACCAGCAGTATTTTACTGTGGGGGTTCAGTTAATCTGAAATGGCTACAGGTGCTCTGTAGGTCATAGCACAGGGCATCAAATGCCATCTCCAGCTTGTCTAGGCCCCAGAAGCTGGCAGGGATGACATCATCTGGGCTTGAAGGTCACTCCAGACTGCAGGTGGAAAGCAAGGTGGGCTTCCTGTACCTGATTTATGCTAATGTAGGTGAGATCCAATCCTGAAAGCTATCTGGGCAGAGGACTCTTCCTCTTGAATTACTAAGATTCCATTAGCTGAACAGTAGCTGGTTTTCTAAATGTTCCCAAGGTCTGGGGTCCTGGCTTTTGGGTTTCGCTTAGCCATATCTGCAAGACAAAATATGGGAGCCTGTGGATGTAGAAGTCTTTGCTGAGGTAGCCAGGTAGTGCTGTAGGTATGCACATTCACAAGCAGTGAGATTTTTAACAGAAGGCTCTCAAGCAAGACTGCATCAAGAGAAACTGTGGGAGGTTTTGCCTCTGGAGATTTTTTTATTTAACCATTGCAGCAATGCCTGCTGTTTTGTATAGCTTAAGTTTTTTTCTGTTTCTCCTACCTCTCTACACCAGTAGAGACAGAGATTATTTGTGGATTAGGTTAGAGGCAAATGAATCAAATCTCAGATTTTCTACTTCAAGAAGAAAATGTAGCGAGGAGATTGTTTATAAAATATTTACTACCATCCGTGCCTTGCTGTTGAGCTTAACGCTTGAGAGAGAGATGGGAAGAAAGCAAACTTTTAAGCCTCAGTAAGAATTTGTGACAAAGCCTATTTTAATTCACACCTTTTTATTTTAGCAAAAGTTGTATCATGGGCCACCTTATTTCAGAATAGAGGTGCACTATTTTGTGCTTTGTGAAAATATCCTCTGCTTTTTCCCTTAAAATAAGTCCCTTCACAGCTGTTTACATTTTCCATATTATCTCAAGACAGGCCTGACAGAAAAAAAAGAAAGTTTTTACTGTGACTGTATATGTAGAGCAACGTAAAAAGCTGCTTGAAGAACTTTTGGGTCATTTGGGAGGAAGATGTGTGGGTGTGAGGAAAGAAAGGAGCAGAAAGCAGAATGGTATCAAACCTTCATTTCTAGAAATTTTCAGGCTTGATCTCTGTTCATATTTAAGCTTCCCTGAAACCACACCGAAGAGAGGAGACAGTTTTGATTCTCTCTAAGGACGTTAAAAGGCAGTGGAATAGCGCTGTTAAAAATGATGTGAAAGTTAGAGAGGATACCTGACTTCATCATTAGAGCATCTTGACATGAACTGCTGTACTGGCTTGAGCAAGGAGTCTGTCTGCGTAGGAGCTACAGGCCTCTGTTTAGCCCTGGAATAGGGAATTTCATTGTGTGAAACACACAGCCAGATTCATGGCCTTTTGCAGAAAAGATTCTGCTTGGTTCAACCTATTCTCCAAGTGGGACTTTGATCTGCAGATAATAATGTGGTGGGCTCTGCTGTGGCTGTAACACAACACTGAACTGACAAGGGCACATCTTGTTTGCATCTAGCAAGATTAGGCTGAGTAAGCAAAAGACTCTGCAGAAGCACCACACCCTACCATAAAGCATCTGTTTTGTTTCTTTCACAATCTAATAAATGCAACTAATTTGCCTTTATTTTGGAGAGCATGATTTGCGGAAAAAATTCTGCAGGCAATGTGAGAGGAAATACTGTAATTCACACTGGCTAAAGTTATGTTTCTAGACGTTTTAAGTCATCAATTTGTTTTCATCCCTTGGCTTGCAGAGAGATTATAGTCTCTAGCATCAATGTTTAAAATACTCTTGTGCTTCAATGTCTCAAAAATTCAGAGTTCTAGATGCAACAGGATATGCTGTCCTACTGCCTCATTTAAAAAAGAGCTCACAGCCATCAGTTGTTGTGAACAGGTAGGGAGGTACTACGATAAAAATAACACTGTGAAGTCATTCAGTCCTCAACAGGGCATAAAATCCAGGTTTCTTCCAAGACTTTAACTCAGAGAATACTGAGACTGAAGAGGCTTAGAAACTGTTGGATTTGATTCACAGTCCTCCATTCTGTTCTCTCCCTGTTTCTGCCACTTCTTGCACTGAAGAATGTTATCAAACCTGTGTAAAGATGTCCTCATAGATGTGGATGCTCACGAAGGCCACGTGGGTGCTCACAGGCAATTGAAAATGCTCAGCTGTCAGGCAGTCTACAGTTTAGAAGTGAAAGGGATCTTTTTTTGGAGGGTATCTCAGCATCTCAGTGTCTCAATATGGGCTTTTCCACCTGGCAGCCGCACAGGGCTGTGGTACAAATTTCTTCTTCGTGTTTGCTTTTGGGGAGTTGCTGCAGATGTTGAACAGACCTTTTAGATCTCGTGAGTTTGTGAGCTACTCCAATGGAGAACCACATATCAGGAGCTTAACTGGTCCGATTTAATATTCAGAGGTTTCTTTAGTTGTTGAGCAGTGTGTCATCCGTGTTTACTGTGCACATATTAAGTTTGTATCTTCAAGTGAAAT